TATGTGCTCCCTCTGCCCAGCCTGCGTCTCCATGCAGCCAATCTCCCAATGGTTAAGTCTTCCATCAGCATGAATCTTAACCAGAATTAATGTTATGAGATTTAACATAAGAACACAGAGAAGCCATGTTGGATCAGGCCAGCAGCCCATCCAGTCCAACACTCTGTGTCACACAGGGGCCAAAAACCAGGTGTCATCAGGAGGTCCACCAGTGGGGCCAGAACTCCAGAAGCCCTCCTACTGTGACTCCCCAAGCGCTAAGAATACAGAGCATCACTGCCCCGGACAGAGTGTTCCCTCTACCCTGTTTCCCCGAAAATAAGACCTACCCCAAAAATAAGCCCTAGCAGGATTTCTATGCATTTGTGGTATAAGCCCTGTGTGTGTCTTCTTGAGAAAAAATAAATATAAGACAGTGTCTTATTTTCGGGAAAACACGGTATACCTTGTGACTAACAGCCACTCATAGACCTCTACTCCATATGTTTATCCAATCCCCTCTTGAAGCTCTCTATGCTTGTAGCTGCCACCACTTCCAGTCGCGGTGAATTCCACATGTTAATTACTCTTTGGGTGAAGAAGGACTTTCTTTTAACTGTTCTAAACCTACTAATTTTAGTAAAAACGTAGTATCTCCAGGTCCATCCTAGCCAGGCTTCTCAGATGAATACTGTGGCTGATGGTATGAGAAGCCACTGAAATATAATCTGTATTTTTAAATACTGGTTTTGTTTGATTTTAGTTTATGCCAATAAAGGTACTGACTGACTGACTGACATTTTAGTTTCATCCCAGTCCTTTTTTCATGGCAGAATAATAATTATCGTATGGTAGTGGGTCTAATATAGCCAGGAGATCCCAAGATAAACCAGGTTTATTTTCAGGCAGAGAGAACTGTGACTGGTCCACGGTCACACAGCTGGCTTCAAGTGGAGGAGTGGGGAACTGAACCCTGTTCTCCAGATTAGAGTCCACCACTCTTAACCATGGATGGCAGATCCCAGAGTATATACAGGGGGGAGCTGCTACTTGACCTTTTGATTTGTGGGATCCCACGACCATGCCCTGTGCCTGAATTGTAGATCTGAATCCAAAGGGGGAGTGCTAGCCTATCCAAAACAAATTGTACATCTAATCCTGGATTAGCAGATTAACCCCCCCAAAAAAACTTTTGTCTTTATTGGATTAAGCTTCAGTTTGTTAGTTCCCACCCAATTCATCGCCTGTGCCTAGATACATCCTTCCTAGAATGTGATGAAAATTGGAGAAAGAGATCTGGGCATCGCAAAAGGTACCCCTCAGAACTGGTGGAGATGGGGAGCAAGAATGATGCTGCTGAGTCTTGGAACAGGATGCAGCTAGAACAGACGCCGAAGACGGACGATTGGTTGGGGTGGAGAATTGTGCTGGTGTATCAGTGGAAGACAAAGCCTCCTTCCACAGTGCAGCCCTGAACCTCGAGGTTCTGTCACTTCTTGCTTTTGGCGTGAACTGTTGGCATGCTCCACAGGCAGCACCATTGTGTTCCTCACTCAAACACAAAAGACAACGTTCATGCTCATCTGAGTGTGGCGTTTTAGTGGCACAGCAGGAACACTGTTTAAATAACACCTTTTGAGACTTGTCTATAGGCAACCAGATGAACAATATGAGGTAAACACCAGGACCTAAGGACTCTTCCTCTCAGGCCTTCCCTTCTTTCTATTTGTTGTTTTTCTCTTTCTCTCTTCTTTTTTTAAACAAACCCAAGTCCAGAGCTGAAGTATTCGAAGAAAAACTCAGACGAACAAAGAGAACAGCTAAGTAATGACAGAAATGAGTGAGATAATCACAGCGAACCAGAAAGATACCAACTCCATTGGCAGCTCAGGTGGAACAGGGGCACCACTCCCTCAGGGCATGTGACTCTTTGGGTGGGAAAACGCATCACAACAGCTCAGAGAGGGAAGTTTTAAGCTGGGACAAAACCTATCTCTACAACAGGCCTACTCATGCTGCACAGTCCTAATGTGGGAATGCACAGAAGACTGAAGATGAAGCTTGAACAGTCAAAAGAGTGACACACAAATGTATTTCCCACTTTTCGTTGCCCTAAATAAAATGAACTGACGTGGCAGAAGAGACAATACAGAATCACCAAAGCACTGAAATTTGTTATGGAATGTTGACTCAGGAAGGAAGTGTGTTTGGGTGTTGCGGATGTGGATGCACTTACCTCAAGCATATTATAAATGATGTAGAGTTTGATGACAGATTGTCCCCTTATCAGGTGGTACATCATGGAATAGTCAACATAGTGCATCATGAAGTAGCAGATCACCAATATAACGCCTTTGAAAATATCACACACCTGAGCAGGTTGCAGTAATCGCTGGTCACTGAAATGCATCAAGGAGACAAAATAACTGCAATTGGCAAACTATAGCCACATACTGCCAATATGAAATTCTTTACTCCAAGAAAACAATGGTGCATCAAAGCCTTCTGTTACAAAGCTACACTGGCCTTTAATGGCATCAGTTCTGCACTGCCTGGCTTCCAGATAACCTCTCACACCTAGAACTGGTGGCTTCCTCGTGGAACTCTCGCATGAGCCTCTTTCACAATAAGAAACAGAAAATGATGTTAAAAGTGATTTGAATGCAAGCAAAATGTTTTGGCACATCCAAGGCATGATCAGCAGGTAGATGCTTAACAACATTTCAATCGCGGCATGTTTAGCTCAGATTTGGGAAGCCAAAGTAATTTACCCACAGTTACGTTTGAAATGTGACGTTGGGGGAGAGTTTTACAGATACAAGTAAAGGTTTCCCTTGCTCAAAAGCCAGTCGAATCCAACTCTAGGGTTGCGGTGCTCACCTCCGTTTCCAAGCTGAAGAGCCAGCGCTGTCCAGAGACGTTTCCATGGTCATGTGGCCAGCATGACTAGACGCCAAGGCGCACAGAATGCTGTTACCTTCCCACCAAAGCGGTACCTATTTATCTACTTGCAATTTCTTGCTTTCAAACTGCTAGGCTGGCAGGAGCTGGGACCAGAGATGGGAGCTCACACCGTCATACGGCACACTCGGGTCTTGAACTGCTGAACTACTGACCTTCCGGTCTGCAGTTCAGCGCCACCAAAAAAGACAAATCAGTGGATTCTAGATCAAACCAAGCCTGAACTCTCCCTAAAAGCTAAAATGACTAAACTGAGGATATTGTACTTTGGTCACATTAAGAGAAGACGAAACTCACTGGAAAAGACAATCCTGCTAAGAAAAGGCAGCAGGAAAATAGGAAGGCCCGACATGAGATGGAGTGACTCAATCAAGGAAGCCCTCAGTTTGCAAGGTTATTAACAACAGAACGTTTTGGAGGACATTAATTCACAGGGTTGCCTAAGTCAGGGGCGACTTTACAGCATTTAACAGACACACAGGGAAGTAGCTGTGGTGGTTAAATATTCTGAGGGCGTATCCTAAGCAGGGGCTCTGTTTTAAGAAATCTGGAAACTGAGGCTGGAGACATATAGAGGTCCTACAAATTAATGCAACTGACATAATTATTCTTTTGGCATCTTCATGCCAGTTGCACCCTGTTTGGTCCCTGCGTTCCCCGTTTTGCCTGTGGCTGAATTTAACAGCTATTTGACCAATTGCAGCTAACTGGGTGCATGTTATGCTCCTCACACCCCCAACCCCCTCAACATCCCCCCCACCCCCAAGCTAGAGACGATGTATATTAGCCTGGCTCTTCCAGTGTGGGCACTGCAGTATTTCACTTGCACAGAAGACTACAAAAGCCTATGGAGGAGTGAAAGCCCTTGCTGTTTCATCCATTTTCTTCTTCTCCTTCTGCAAGGAGCATTTGGCACTGTTTACTACTTCTAAATTAAACTGAGTCATTTCGTTGCTTAAATGTTTACATATGAACAGTGTCCACTTATACTTGGCCTTAATTAAGAAACTATGTGAAAGACAAGACTCTAATATGGCACAGAGAGCCATCTGCCCTGCTTATATTAACCCTCTGCAAGGCTACATTAAACTTTCTGTTCTCCTTTTTAACCAAGGGGAAAAAAGGGGAAGGGAAAAAACTTGAACCTAAAACATAGAATCTAGAACCTGACAAAGGTTAGTCAAATGTAAGAAAGGGGGCCAATATTAAAAACTTAATGAAGGAAACATATAAAAATACATGTATTTATTAATCACAAATTTTAAAATTATATAAGGGCCCAATCATACGTTATGTATAAATAACAAACGATAAAACACAAGGGCTTATAAATCTGACCTGATGCGTTTCGGCCTACATAGGCCTTCCTCAGAGGAATGCGCCAGGTAGGGTTGCCAAGTGAGAAATGAGCTGGAGCGGGGGACTCCCGGCTGGCAGCTGGAGCATGCGCGCGCCGCATCCATGTCACCCGGAAGTGACACGGGCACACCAGGCACGCTGGGGGCGGGGGCACGACCATCCGAGGGAAAACCATAGTTTTCCCTCGGATGACCGTGGCCCCGCCCCCAGCACGCCCGCGTCACTTCCGGGCGACGTGCACGTTGGGGTGGAGTTCCCCCCAGGGCCCGATCCGCCGCTGGTGGGGAACGGGCCTCTGGGGCGGGGATTTCCCCGCCCCCCGGGGGGACTTGCCAAGCCTAGCGTCAGGTCAGATTTATATGCCTTTGTGTTTTATCATTTGTTATTTATACATAACGTATGATTGGGCCCTTATATGATTTTAAAATTTGTGATTAATAAATACATGTATTTTTATATGTTTCCTTCATTAAGTTTTTAATATTGGCCTCCTTTTTAACCAAACCACAGCATGGATAACACAGGACAGGTGGTTCATCTATGTCTATATTCCATAAATGTGTGAATACATTTATCAATAGACTTCACTATAAATTTATTCAATTAAAATTTGACTTGACCATACCTACGCAAGAAATATATGAATGAAATCCTTTGAGGCTGGAAGTGTTAACAGCAAGTCGACGACATTGTTAGTAATGTTTTTTTCGTTAAAAGCCAAAGATGAATGCAAAGGATGACTCCGCAGACAGTCATAAAGGTGCAAAAACTGCTACACTCTCATCTCGTTTAGCATTTCAGCGTATGATCCTGCCTTTTACTAGGGAAGAACACTTTTTTCATCAGATGCATTTTCCAGCTTTAAAAATGTATTATAAAATTTTAAATTAAATTAGTTTAAATTAGTTGTAGACATTATTTTAGTTATACAGTTCAGTGTTCATCTCCACTTGGTTTCAAAGGAGAGACAGTGTGGTGCAGTGGTTAGTGCACTAGACTAGGATCTAAGGAGATCTAGGTTCAAATCTACCCTCTGCTCTAAAACTTGCGAGGTGTCCCTGGGCCAGATACTTTCTCTCCCCCCTCACAGCTTACCTCATGGGATTTGGGTGACAATAAAATGGGAAAGAGAACCATGTATGCTGCTCTGAGGACCATGACGGAAGGAAGAGATTAAAGTATACTAGACAGAACAAACCCACTTTGGTTGTAAATTTTTCCCACTTCTACCAAACTGTTATGAAACTTATAGGGAGCACAGCCCTCGCCTGAGGGCTTTTCCCTGCCAAAATTCAGACAGGAGAAAGAGTCCTTGTTTTACAGCCAGTTAAAACTCTCAGTTCAACGGGCTAGTGTTTGAGAACCCAAGAGAACAGGTAGTGGGTACAAAACAGTACAATAAAAATGAAAGTGCATCCTTCCATAGTTATACACAAATGGGAATACATTGTCAAGTCCAAAGTCAGTTGGTGGCAAAGTCTATTTTAAAACAGGAGTGGAGTATGGAAACAAGAAGAATTGTGCAAATATACCCGGATCACAATTGGCAAGTTCTCTCCCACCCGAGAGACATGGAGTTGGATCCAGTCAGTTTTTCCATTGGTGAAAAGGGGAGAAGGGTGGACCTTTTGACTGTCAAAACAGTTCTGCTGGGGCCATGGGACCTGCATGCACACAAGCCATGTGGGACAAGGGCAAGGAATGAACCACTGAATACTTACCGTAAAGGGTCCTTCTCCTCTGAGGAATGGAGGACATTGTGATGGGCGATTCCCACCATCTAACCAGTTTTTTTCAACTTCCTGTCTCTTGCCTGTGGGAGTCACCCTCTTCAGTTCTGGTAAAATCAAAAGCAGTTAGGCTATAATGTCAACTCTAGGAAAGAGAACACATGGACAAGAACAGAGCAATAACGCAGACAAGAAAAAAAACAGGCAAATAATATGACTGAGACAAGAAGTATAACTAGTTGACAATGACTTCGGGAGGGACAAGATGTCCCCCTTTCTTCAGAGGAGAAGGACCCTTCACGGTAAGTATCCAATGGTCTGTTCTCCCTCTGAGGCGGAGGACATCTTGATGGGACCTCCCAGAGCAATGTCCTCAGTTTTGGGGTGGGTCATCATCATTTTCACTTAGGATGCGTTGCAGCACTCTTCTGCTGAAGGCAGCATCTGCCGAATTATAAGTATTGATCTTGTAGTGTCTAATAAATGCGGAGAGAGATGACCAGGTTGCTGCATGCAAACTTCCTCAACTGTTGCCTCCCTTGCGAATGCGACATTGTTGGCAGCACTCCTGACTGAATGGGCTGTAATTCCAACAGGGATAGGAAACTTGTGGATTTTATAGGCCTCTACAATGCATGTTTTGAGTATGCTACTAATGGCCGACTTGGATAACCTTTCTCCTGTGTTAGGTGGAGATATGAACAAGAATAGCATGACAGTTTTCCTAATGTGGCTGGTTTAACAAATAAATGTCTTGAGAGGTCTTCCGATGTCGAGGGTGTGCCCTTTGATGCTATGGGTTTGGCGGAAGAATGGAAGACATATATCTTGAGTTCTATGGGGGGCAGAATTGACTTCAGGCATGAAGGTAGGATCTGGTCAAAGTAACAACTTGTCTTAATGAAATATGCAAAGTTCAGGTTTAACTGAAAGCAAGCCTAGCTTGGAGACTTTTCTGGTGGATGTGGCAGCCGGAAGAAGAAGTGTCTTCATCCTCAGCTGTTTCTATTAGACTTCCCTCAGTGGCTTGAATGATGGCTTGGTAAGTGCCGAGAGAACTGTGCCGAGTAGCTTCCATGCAGGTAACCTATAGCAGGCCTCTCAAAGCCATGCTTTGGAGGAAATGCTGCCTGTGAGGATGTCACAAAATGCTTGTGCCTTTCAGCTGGTTGTGGATGCCAGATGGATCCCTGATATAGCATGGCCGGTGACACTGGTAACCTCCAGGGGTGTGCTATCGACATCTCCTGTAGGGCCGAAAACCATGGTCAGCATGGGCAGAACAGGGCCACCAGAATGGCATCTACTGGTTGTTCTTTGATCTTCCTGAGTACCTCGGGAATAATCAG